GTGCGAATAAGCCCACAGCAGCTAAAGAGAGGCCCGGCATGGCTGAATGGTTGGACAGATTGACGGCCTCCAGATAGCGCTCGAGCAGATGAATGTCCGGTCTCGTCCCGACTGTGGTACCATCGAGTCCGAGCCCGCTGGGCGCCAGACTGACGAGGTGTCCGAGGCCGTTCTGCGGCACGTCGTAGGTGGCGGCGTGGTCGGAGTAGACGACGGCCTCGTAGGTGGTGGTGCTGGGCGGCGGCCCGGCGAATAGCGGCGTCTGGTGTAGCACAGTCAGCAGGTCGGCCGAGCTGGCCGGAGGGAGAGGCAGCGGCAAAGAGAGCGGCAGCGAGAGAGTGGGCAGTTGGCCGACGGCGAGCGCCTTCTTCAGAGTCATTTGACCGAGAAGACCCGGCGGCAGAAGCATCAGACCCGCCGAGTTGTGGTTGCTGAGGGCGTCCGCCAGCGACTGCGTCTGTCCTGTCTGGCCGTCGGACGACTGTTGTGTCTGTTGCGTGTCCTGTTGTTGTTGTTGTTGCTGCTGCTGATGTTGCTGTCGCATGAGGTGGGAAGAGGTGGCGGACGAGGAGGTGCCGTTGGCGGAGGAGGGGCCGTCGCCGGGCAATCCGGGGCCGCGAGTGTCGGGGTTCTGCTGCAGTTGGTACCGCATGAAGTGGACGCCGTCGGCGTTGGCCGGCAGAGGCTGTTTGTCCTCGCTCTCGGCGCCGCAATAGCGTGTCCTCGAGCAGATGGCCTCGTCGCTGGAGCGTGACAGTTTGCCGGCTCCCGGCACGAGGCAGGCCAGCAGACCCAACCGCCGACTGCCTCGCAACAGGCTCCGGTAGACCAGCAAAAAGAGCAGGACCGTGCACAGAAATGTGCCCATGACGGCGCCCAGCATCTCTACGAGACTGAACTGTTTGCTGTAGAGGTAGCTCGGCTTCGCCGAACGCACTGAACGCTCGTCCGAGCCTCCATCCAGCCCCGCCAACGGCGACGGCGACGGCGACGGCGACGGTGGGAAATACGGCGACGGCGACGGCGACGGCGACGGCGATGCTGGCCATTTGATGCGGACGACGGCAGAGGCGTTGCCGGATACGTCGTCGGCATGGCACGAGTAGACGTCGAGTTGGCCGATCCGCCGGACGGGCAGATCGGCTTGCGCCACAGCCACCGGCAGCCGCCAACCGGCCGCCTCGAAGCCGGCGTGGACGGCTTGAAGTCCGCTTTCGTTGAGGTAACTGGCGCGTACGGCGCTGCCGGTCGACGCCGACGTCGACGTTGACGTTGACGTGGGCGTCGAAGCGTGGTAGACCCAGCGGACGACGAGGTCGGAGGAGCCGACGGCCTGGCAGGCCAGACTGACGCTGGGCTCGGTCGGGACGTCGGGATCGGCGACGAGGCCGCGAAGGTCCACCTCGACGCGACGTAGACTCGGCGGTGGACAGAGCAGAAAGGGCACCGTCGCGACTGTAATTGCGTCGGACGCGGCGCGTCGCAGTTGGGCAAAGTGATCGAGATCGGCGATCAACGAGTCGAACGATCGGCCAGCGAATTCGGCCGGCTCATGACAGACCGGCGCTCCGCGCCGCTGGAGGCTGGACGACAACGAAGCGGCTGCTGAAGAGGCGCCCGCCGCCGTCTGGCCGGCCTGGACGAGGCTGCGATAGCGACGCACCAGCCAGGCCAACCGACAGTCGCAGGTCCAGTTGTTGCCGTCCAGCCAGAACTGCTGGAGCCCGGCAAAGACGGCGTCGAAACCGGGCTCGAGTCGAGTCAATCGGTTGCCGCGCAGGTCCAGATGCACCAGACCGGCTTGGCGGGCCAGCCGGAGGAAGGGAGCGGCCGGCAGATGAGTCAGTTGCGAGTCGGCCAACAGCAGATTGACGACCTCGTCGAGGTCGGCGAATGCCGCGTCCGGAATGTCGGGAGCCCGCGAGAGCAACGTCAACGAGAGGTACTGCAAGCGGAGGCCGGCGAACGCAAACTCGCCCAGACTGGCCAGCGGGTTGCCGGACAGATCGAGTTGTCGCAATTGCCGGCCGAGGCGACGGAAGGTGTAGGGCGCCAGACTGACGAGGCCGCAGTAGCGCAGGATCAACTGCTTCAGCGCGATTTGACCGCCGAACTCGCGAGACGTGAGGTTGGCCAGAATGGCCGCGTCCAACCGGTTGAAGATGAACGTCTGATTGTGCACAATAAGACGCTCCAGAGTCTCGGAATGCGGCGATGGGATGCTGCGCAGACCGTGACCAGTGCAGGTCATCATGCCGGGGACACATTTGCAGGAGGAGGGACAGGTTCCGGACAATGGCTGGCCGACCGACATGCCGGTTGCCAGGGCGACGAAGAGGAGGACAGTTGGCACAATCGTAGAATAAGGCAGAGATGCCAAAGTGCCAGCCGGCCGCAACCATGACCCCAACGAAGATAAATGCAGTGCCATTTGAAAATCGGATCTTCCAAGCAGCCGTTTGAACGGCAGAAACTGTACATTCACGCAGAATGCGCTTCTAGCGTTGCCGTTGGACAGGCCAGTTTGCTTAAGAGAGGCGGCTGCCAGGGGAAGAAGAGAAGGAGAAAGACAGAAACGACAATTCGGACAAGTTATAATAGGGCCTGTAAGAAGCAAATTCCATACACTGTACTAATATATATTATATCAAATCATACTCTATCATACCATGTTGTCGTATGCTATTCTATACGACAACCTAAAATGTTAAACTGGACCATTACACTCATGTCAAAGAAGACGGTTTCATAAGGAACACTCTTCGAAACTATACTATACTATACTATACTATACTATACTATACTATACTATACTATACTATACTATACTATACTATATATAATTATATACGAACATTTTATCAATTATAATATAAACAAGTTTGTTACAAGATGGAATTATCGAAATGATCAAACATTGGTAAAAACTACAACTAATATCTCTTAATAGAGTATACATTTAACTAATATAATATAGAAAATTTAAAGGGTTACAATATACTATACGTTACTACAAGACAAAATGAATCGCATTTCGTCTCAAGATAACGAGATATATCTTAATTTTCTAAAATATTGCTAAAAATATATGCATAATATATAAAATATGATTATAGATAATATACGTAATATAATATATATTTATACGACATATATAAGTATATATATATGTAATAATTTGCGTTTTTTTGGACTGCGGTTAATAATAGATATAATTTACAGCCATTCTTCGTGGTTAAGTTCGTTTTCATCGTAATTGAATTGATACAAGTTAACGTACTCAAGGCCAATTTGAATACGATGCTGAGAAATGATTTAATAAACCGAATTCAGACAATATACCATGACGATAGTAATAATACGAGTCGTATATATACTATTAAAAATAATACTATAACCAAGCATTGCACTATTTCCCAGCTTTGTATGAAATAATCGTTCATAGCACTGTTAATTATCAATGCTTCTGATATCCTACCTAGAGCTATACCGCATTTGGAAGACCGTTAAGGAGGATCATTTTTGTGACTAGATCCATTAACGACAAAAGAAGATAAATTTGTGTATTTACTGTGTATTTACTCACAAAAATTCAGTAAATTCATCATTTCTGTCCAATTGGCCCTCTCCAATCCATGGCAACTCCTGCTAAGCAGGCAGGTCAACCTAACAAAAGCCCTAGAATCATCCACCATTGGAACACTTGCATCCAAGACTTCTGCTTAGATGATCTATTTGTTTATTACAACAAATGTCATATTCACTTGCAACAACCAGTGACTGGTTAGGGGATACCTTGAAATTGGTCGTATGAATCAAGCATTAGTTTGCAACGATTCATTATTAGTTTAACTTGTATCAACGTGGGAAATGTAAGTATACTATATGTAGACTACACCAACACATATTATAGTGTGCATATTATGTATATTTATATTACCGTATTTTCCGGCGTATAAGACGACTGAGCGTTTAAGACGACCCCCTGACTTTTCCTGTTAAAATATAGATCTTTTAAGGAGGTAAGGA